ATCAATAATTACGAAATTATACAATCTTTCTGTCCATTATCTATTTTATATATTTATAAGTTTACTATTGGTCCAGGCATTAAATATTGCTGCCATATTTGGTCTAGTGCTTCTGCTATGTATATATAGATTCTTGATAAAATACAAATAAGAATTTGCAATGTTACTGGTCGTGACCAGTAATCTTGGTTTCAGTCAATTTCCCAACGCCGTAACATAGCTTCCCAGTGTATTTTCTATTAATTCTTTCATGGTAATGGCTATTTCGCACAAATTTAAGCGTAGTTCGAATTCCAGTCGAATCCATTACATTCAGCTACGTGCTGATACCCTCGCTAATATCCTTGGGAAAGTTATGAATCTTCTTTTTCTCTCCCCCCAGTTATGGATAAATAGTAGGACAGATCGTGTTCTGTAGCCTTGGATGGCAACTGGTTTACCGCAGAAAGAAATGGCAACCTACTGCGGGGAAAAAACATCTGCCTCGTCAGATACATGATTGCGTAAGCTTGTATCGCACATAGCATATAACTGACTGAATTATGAATGATCACGTGAAACAAACGCGTGGCAACGAATATATGTTATCTTCATATAATACAATATGATAACAGACGAATGGACTTTACATCTAATCTTATTAATTAATCTTATATGCGACTGTCAGCTCTTTTATTTTTACCGGCTGGGTTTTTGTCCACATGGATTTGTCCATTGGGTTTTTGTTATGGTTTTGGCTGTATTACTTAATAGGTTAAATATTATACTCAAGGATGTAATTTTTCCTTGCTTTTAGCTTCAAAGTTAAAGCGACGTATTATCCCAATCTTTGTATCATACACAATAAAAAAACGATAATATAAAACCTAAAATGTTTGGGATATACACGTTTACCATCAGATTGTTTTGAAGAGATTCAAACAATAAAATCGTATTTTTTCATATTATGAGTTTACAGATTCCAATAAAATTGCGAATGCAGATTATTGAAAGAGGAATAATTAACGTCTTTTGTTCATATTAAAAGACTATTCAGTTTTGAAAAAGATGACGTTGAGAGTAAAACAAAAGGTTTTTTATACATATATTCTCAAAGATTATTGAAACTGAAAAAATAAGAGCTGATTTTAGCAAAACACGTATGATGCTTTTTTAACTTCTGTTGCAAACTCTCTCTCTTAAGTTTATATATTCTCTTTATTATATATAAATATTTATATATAAATAAAAATATATGTAATGCCAAACAAAAAAAAAGAAATTAAATCCTGTCCAGATAACTGAAATTTTTATTTTTTGAATCGCAAATTAGTTGTTCTTTTTGACATTTTCAAATCATGGTTTTTATTATATGTTTAATGTTAATTATTATTATTTTATTTTCTGAAGATGGTCTAAAATAATGCGTCCGACGTTTTCTTTTAAATTAAATTAATACAGAAATTGTTTAAGATTTTTAACTCTTTTCTGCATTTTTTCTTGTTACTGTTTCATTCCATATTTGCTATATATATATATATATATATATATATATATATATATATATATATATATATATATTAGTAGTAATCCTATTCATATAAGAAACTGAACTGTTCGAAAACATTCAACTGATTTGCAAATAATCAAATCAAGATATATAATCGCCTAGATGACTGCGTAAGGCACATAACTGACTGAATAGATTGTCGTATTAATATTGCATTTTATTAGATTAAATGGCAAGAGATGTTACTGTAAGTTCTATTAAACAGGTTTTTCTTTGCAACTTATCGCGTGGAATTCTTTTCTTGCTTTTGCTTTAGAAAATATCGACCGTTAACTTTTCCTTCTTAATTCCTGTTAAATTGTTCAATTTCATTAACGATCTTTTTTCATTATTAACTAAACTTATAACCCGTTCCTTCTTAGAGGCTTTATTGCCTTGCTTGGGGTGAAATAATTTAAAAAAATGTATGGATCGGCAAATCTGTGTAATACCAGAGTGTTTTTTTTGTTTAACAGCATATAAACTCCTTATCGGTCAATTAATGCCGAAATTTAATTTTCTTGGGAGCTTTAAAGTAATAAAATATGATTACTTTTATTCTGCTTTCACAGTTGAATACATGGTAGATGATATTCAGCTTTTGTGCATATACATGTCTATGTGGACATAAATGTGTTGGCATGTGGAGATATTTGCGTTTTATGTTGTAATATTGTTGAAGTTATATTTTGGAATACAGTTTGATTTCTTTAAACAAAATTTTTCATAAAAAATGTTATGAAAGTTTTTTCGTGTTGGTTCTTTGCAAGCCTGGATGTGCGGGTGGTGCAATGAATAACGGTTCAGAATTGGAAATCGGAGAGATAAAATCCCAGTCGTTTTTTTTTCAACCAAATAAGTTGGAAAACGTATGTATTTAATTTATTATCCCCAGGTTTCAATAAGTTAATTAGTAAAAATCATTCTTGATATCTAAAATAGTTTTGATTTGAAATAACCTGCAAGGGGTTGATAAACGTAAAAGAACAAATTCATCAAACAAAAATAACAAGACTAGTTCCTTCCCGAAAAAAATTTCCCTATTTTGAAAATCATAGCAGCCATTATAAGTAGTTTGTCGACCAGAGCCATCACATAAGATTGTGCTAAAAAAGAGTTTTTTGATAAAATGACAAAAGTGGGTATAAACGCATCAAGGTTATATAGTTTAATTACATTGAAACAGTTTATTCTATGTACTATCACCGAAGTGAGGTAAAATGTCAGGTCAGTACCTATAAATGCCAGGTGCTTGGATGTGCGGTTGATGTAACGGATAACGACTTCGAATTTTTTATATAGACAGGAAGATCTGATGGTGATATTAGAAAAGAAAACTGTCCGTTTTGGGACCACGTGAGTAGGTGAAGTAATAATGTTAAGTAAAAAAAAAAAACCCAAAAACCAAAAATAACAGCAACAAAAAACTTAAAAAAACTTTTTGAAGACAATGGCAGTGATGAAAACTTGGGAATCCAAAATTTCAGGATTGCAGGTCCGGATCCGAACAGGAATGTTTTTAATTTGCTCACGGATGGCCCTGATTCCAAAATTCTATGATATCTAGGAGTAAATTGAAAAGTGTATATTCGTATATATATATATATATATATATATATATATATATATATATATATATATGAAAATATATTTAACCAGTAGAGAAGACAATATTTATGAATAAAAATGACAATAGAAAACTGATAATTGCTGACGCGTTTCGTCCAATGTGGACTTTATCAAAGCAAAATAGGAAAAGGAAAAAAAAAATTTTCATTTTCGTATTTTGCTTTGATAAAGTCCACATTGGACGAAACGCGTCAGCAATTACCAAATTTTCATTTTTTATTTTTATTTCTTATATATATATATATATATATGGAATTTAAAAATACCTCATAGATATGATCATTTCACCTTACAAGTTAAGATTCACTTGCAAGGATTTTCAAATCGATCAAGGTAATAAGATAAATAAAATAAGATGAAAAAAAGGGCCTAAAGCAAATTTTAAATCAAGACAGAGACAAAAAATGGAAGAAAAACTGAAAAAAAAAAATAAAAGAAATATTGAAAAGACAAAAAGAAGATATGTAGTGATGGCAAAGAAATTGTAAAGCAAGAAATGCTGTCAGTCATTGGAAGTCTGAAAGGAAGAGCATTTAAAGCAAGCAGTCTTTGTAATAAAGTGCACAATATCAGAGATAGAGCTTTAATAGGATTAATGCTAATAAAAGTGACTTGTTGAAAACTACTGACGCGTCGACAAAACAATTAGGAAAAAGTTCGTCTATGAAATTCCGGTGGTGAGATGATGAATATCTATCAGCTAAGTGACAAATTTTATTCGTATTAATCACTCACACTCACACACACAGAGACACGCGCACAGAGACACACACACATCTATCTATATATATTACAATGAATCCTTCATAAATAGAGTAAATTAGTAAAGTTAATGACATAAAATGGCAAATTCACATCGCTAACTAAAAATACATTAAGCCACTAACCACTTGATGAATGTTATGATCCTTGTTTTTTAAAATTATAAATTGTATTATTAAATTTTCCTTAAATATGAAAGTACATTCGACAGGTGTCTCCGGTCATCATCAGGTATGGAAACTATTTTTTTTTTGGTGAAATTTGATAGCATCCGAGACGAAAAACATATAATGTAAATCGAAAAATTAAAATTAAACTGCATGTGCACATATTTGATTCTAAATACATTCAACACCATCAGATGTGATAAGACACCAGAAGTGTTAAAACAAAATGGCTATTTTTTGTATTTATTTTATAATATATTTATGCTATAATTTTATTTTAAATTATATTTGCTCTACTCTTTTAGAATAATATTTTTGGGTTGTTGGAATTTATTCCGTATACATTAATCCTATACAGTACGTATATATATATATATATATATATATATATATATATATATATATATATATATATATATATATATAAAACATTTTTACGTTTATACGTTCTTTTTAGAGATACAAATATTTAAGTAAACGCTCTGTTTATAATAAACGGTATTAACGACATTTACCTGCCCGAATGTCCGAGACATTTTCATAGAAAATATGCGTCCTCTAATAGGAATCGAAACTGTATCCTATACGGAACCATCATATAGCCTGACGTGCATTTACCGATTTAGCCACAGAGGAGCGTTTCAGATAGCAAAGGTCGATTTTATGTTTTAAACTTACAATTATCCATGGTTTTCTCAATGCTACATTCATATCTGCCCCATGCGTATCTAAATGTAAACAAATGACGCCATTTTATGAAATGGAAAAATCCGACAATTATTTTAAGAAATTTTATATATATATATATATATATATAATATATATATATATATTTCTATTATTATGTGTGATATCTATCTCAGTCCGCACATATCTATCTTTGTCCATATTATCTATAATTATCTTTGTCTAAGCATGTCAGTTCATATCTATCTGTCTCAGTCTGTTCATATCTATCTATCTATCTATCTATCTATCTATCTATCTATCTATCTATCTCATTCTGTTCATTTTAATCGATCTATTAATCTATCTTGTATACTAAACAAATATACGACACAACAGATGACACTCCTATCAGCGTGGAGACTGCTCTACAACATTTAGACATTTCCAAATAAGCGGTGATTAGCTTAATTATTAGGTATATTGTATGCCTACAGAATTCGAAAAAAATATCTAAAAATAAGGTAAGTACGACTAGTCTTACCTGACTGCAGAGCTACGTGCAGACCAAGAAAAATACACCAAAGAACCGAGTCTGCAAGGAATAGAGTTGTTAGAAAAGAAGATAGGTGGATATGATTTGTAGAATATCGATTCATTTATAGAGATTTGGGATAAATATGCAGAGAGTAAAGCAGACAAGTACAAATCCATGTTGTAATCTGCATCAGCCATAAAGGAGACTGATTAAACGGAGGATCAATGCCTTAATGAATTGATCCAAGTCAGGGAACGAAATCCAAGGCTATTCCATCGGGAGACAAAAACGTGTGAAGATACACTGAAAAGAACTGATAGACGCCAAATGTCTATGAGAGAAAGCGCGCACACGCATACACACAAACACACACACATGCATACACACATATATATATACATACATACATATACATACATATATACACACACACGCACACACACATATATATATATATAAACGAAAAGCAAAAAACGCACGCACACACATAAATGCACACACACACACATGCACACACACACACACACACACACACATATACACACATATATATTAATGAAAAAGAAAAAAAAAGTAGGTGTAACCAATGGATAAACTGTCAAAACTCTCATCCAAATATCGTCTCGATTAAAATCGACAAAACTGAAAAAAGAAAGAGAAAGAAAGGCCTAAAAGCAAACTTACCTACAGAGTAAAGTGCTTGAAGCCTAGATTGTCTAGACCGAGCTAAAAACCCTTACCAACGTTAAATCCTGTGAAAGGTTGGTTCCAGTCGTAATTATATATACACACACACACACACACACACATATATATATATATATATATATATATATATATATATATATATATATAATTGGTAGTACTCGTTTATAAAAACCCTGGGTAGCTGAACTTGCAGTTGTACCTGAGGAAAAATGGGAAATAAGAAAAAAGAACCAAGAACATTAAAACAATCGTCTTGTTTAAGCTCCAATTTCAAAGAAAAAAAAAACAAAACGAGTAAAAAGACAACTACGTAAATACACGAAGTAGACTATTTTATTGTATAATAATCCCTAAATTCCAGGCAAACCTACCTAGGTTTCATTTAAACGGATTTCAGGATAAAGCCGGTTTTAAAGCTGACTTTATCCTGAAGATCCGTGGGTAGATTTGCCTGGCTCCTTAGGATTATCTTATATATATATATATATGTATATATGTATATATATATATATATATGTAGCAAGTATCTGTCTTACATATTTGAATATTGCTGCCACATCTGGTATGGCGTTCCGGCTATATATTTAGAGTTTCTTGATAAAATCATAAAATAAAGAATCTGCAATGTTATTTGTCCTGACATAACATCTCCTTTTTTCAGTCACTTTCCAACCGCAATAATATAGCTTTCATGTGCCGCTTTTATAAATAATTTCATGGTAATTGATCTGATGAATTTGCTTCTATTGTGATTTTAAAAAAATTAACCGGAGTATTAGATTGGCGCGAAGATCGCATCATTTTACAGTTAAAATGGCAAGACGTTTCCTCTATCGCACTTCCCGCTTGCAGAAATCTATTTCGGCTTCTTGATTCAGAGTCAACTTTGATTTTCAAAAATGCAAATGCAGTCTCAATTGTTATCTATTTTCTTCTTCTTCTTCTTCTTCTTCTTCTCCTTCTTCTTCTTCTTCTTCTTCTTCTTCTATTATTATTATTATTATTGTTATTATTGTCCTTGTTGTAACCTAGGGAGAGGTTACTGAATAGAATAATCAAACGAATGTTGGAAATGAACGTTAATACTTAGGACAAGAACAACACATATAAGATTCGCCAGCGGCGCGTAGTAGAAGGAGCCAAATGCTAGAAGTGAGTCAAGTGAATTCCACAATGGATCTCCAACTGCAGAATGTCTACTAACCGCCGCACGCAGTCAGCTGTGGCAGAAGGCCGAATTTAATGTGGGGTATCCGAGTCCGTAGTCTCGACCAAAAATTACCCGTATTCACCGTATAAAACGGGGTTGGGTAGCTTTTTCTCGAGCCGAGAATCTGCCCTTCGACATAGCCTCGTCTTGGGATCGTCTCTGTCCTGATACTGAGAATTTGACCAGAACAGCTGGAGACGAATATCTAAATGTAGACCAAAATACGGTATTTACTACTATATTTATGTGGAATGGGACATACCCATTATCGTCCGTAAGTATACCACAACAGTCCTCTCTCCTTAATAGTATTTTTCTCATATTCTCAATCATTCAGGAGCCTCTTGCGTCTTAGTGGCTTGATTGATTTTTAATGGTCATATATATATTTTTACACACACACACACACACACACACACACACACACACACACACACACAATATACACACACACACACACATATATATATATATATATATATATATATATATATATATATATATATATAAATAAAATAAATAATGTTAATTAAAATTGACATTAAAAATAATTTATTTCACCAAAATATTTTTGAAGGACTCCATATTTATTCAGGTAACACTTCCAACAACGAAATGAAAGGGAAAAATTATTTAGAAATTGATGGGTAGTGTTATTTTTGTAATTTAACAGGAGAGTGATTATTGTAGTTAACGAGACAAGGTAGATTATAACAAATTTTTAAATTTCATATTTCACTTTGATCGCCAATCCTTCACATATAAATCAAAAAACATCAAACTGCACTTTCTAAGCATTATTGGATGATTGTTGGAAAAAAATTAACCCGACAAAGTAAATGGAGAATCATATCGAGAGCTAAGACTCCGATAAACTTCAGAGACTGATGCAATTTGTGCATTAAAGAAAAAATTTTAATAATAAAGCATAAATAATCCGGACATACTGCTGAACAAGACATGAATGAGTTGATTTGTTAAATGCAGACATAAAAACCATTTTTTAACGAAGTTTTTTGGATTTTATGCTTATGTGGATATATGTAATCTTTAATTTCTTAACATGTGTATGGATGTATGTGTGTATATGTAAAAGTATATATATATATATATATATATATATATATATATATATATATATATATGTGTTTATGTTAAATATATAAGTATGGGGTATTAAAAAATTAAGTACTAAACGTTATTTTTGTGCTAGGTTTCATTGTATATATGTGTATATATATATATGTGTTATTTTGTTTGTGTGGATGTATGTGTTTCATGTGTGTAATTGTGAATGTATAAAGTGTATGTGTATGTATTTTTGTGTGTGTATGTACGGATATATATATAACATATTTTATATATGTGTAGTAATTTGAATATTAATCTGCTTGTAATCTGTATATGTACGTAGATGTATATACCTTAGAATTAATATTTGTAATTGTTGTGTATGATACACCTAATTTACATAAGTGGAGTACCGACCATATAAATATGGGTTGGTACCGGAAGACGACAGGAAGATTAAGAGATCGAATCCAGAGACTCTGCCCGACTGCGACTTAGTCAACCCATTCTGCAGGAACAGTCTTCCCAAGAATATACCAAAACTACCTGTAAATATTGTGTACCTTTTTTCATTGTTTCAATACATTTTGTTACGTACATTTTGTGTTGTATTATTATTATTCCATGCTTATTCAAGCTTCAACAGTAATATATTTATGATAAGATGTATAACATTGTAATATAAATACATATGCATGTGTGGATAGTTATGGGTAGAATTCTTTTTATATGATTTTTTTGTATATAATCGTGAGTAGGTATGTAGGTATTCATGTATATATGTGTGTGTATGTGTATATATGGTTGTATATGTATATAAGGGTGTATATATGTATATGAGTATACCTATATATATATATATGTATATGTAGATGGATGGATAATTAGATATATTATTAATTATATATATATATATATATATATATATATATATATATATATATATATATATGTATGTATGTGTCTATACGTGTATGGAATATTTTTAAATGGAAGTAAATTTTATTTAAAATAATTCTCTTGGTATTTTAAAATTGCTTTTTCTTTTTAATGTTCTATAATAAAATTTTGAGAGTGTATTTTTATCTTCTTAAGGGAGTTTCATCTTAAAATTGATAATTTTAAATATACCATTCTTTAACTATTAATAGTAATAATAATATTAACGAAATCCCTTTAATAATGAAGCACTTTAGAAGTCACCTAAAGTTAAACTTTAACTATAAAATCAAACTAAAATCTAAATAAATTTCAAATGTTAAAATATAGGTAATGATTGAAAATGTATGTGTATATATAATTTTTGTATGAAGATGGATGAGCATTTTGTATATTGTTGCACGTGTGTCTATGTGTGCATTTGCACATGTAAATGGAAATGTATATGTGGATTTGCATGAATATGTTTTTTGGAAGATACATATAAGAAGAAAACAAAATCTTTAATATTACCTCAAATATTAATAAATAATGAAACCTAAACCTTAATTAAGTTTACCCATATAATAATAAAGAATAATTATAAATTCATAAATTATTTAAAACTAATTAGATGTTATTGTTACCAAACTTATTATGATAAGTACAATTGGTTAATAAATAAACTTATAATTTTAAATATTTTTTAATATGTTCTCGATAAATGGTCATTTAAAGCATTTTTGTTAAATTTTAAATATTTAAAATAGTAATAAATATTAATCCTAAAATATTTTATTAAAAAAATAAATGTATTTAAATTGATAACATTCATCATTTTAGACATCTAAATTTCTATCAAGCATTGAAATTATATTTTTACATAATTTTGTTAAAACAAAATTATAGTCTTTTTCGATTCACTTCCTCTCACCCTTCTCTTTTGCCCGTAACACTCATTTAGATATATATCTGTTGTTTACTGTTGTCATCTCCTTTCCATTTTTTCCTTTTCTTTTCCCCATAACCCTTATATATCATTTCCGTTAAGTTAACCATCTCAATAATAGAATATTAAGTCACTCCTCCTACCCCAATATAAAACATGCTTAAGAGAAATAGAATAACCCAATTATTATAATCTTATGTCTTATTAACTATTGTAGATCACATGTTAAATTACAAAAATTACAACCCATCAATTTCTAATCCCATTTTTCCTTTCATTTCGTTGTTGGAAATTTACCTGATGATCCGAAATTCAGGGTTCATTTTTGGTGAAATAAATTATTGTAATGGTACCTTAAAGTGGTCTGTTTTTCATTAAAAACATTTTTTTAACTGGATTCAAATTGAATTTCAGGATTTCATCTTGTCCCGGGTTTATTCTTCGTAAATTATATATATATATATATATATATATATATAAATATATAATTTTTATATATATATACCCTGAAATCCATAATAACTTGACATCAATTAGACATTTGAACTACAGACTTTTATTTTCCAACCACCTGAAGAAAAGTTTGAGTCCTCTGAATAATTTTTATCTCATATTTTGAAACAGATTTTATTTCATTGAAAATCCTCAAGCATCCCCCCAAAATAGGACGGGATAATTTCATGAGGACGACTGGGTGTGAAAGTGAATGAGAATATATCAGCAAGGAACAGTGCAGAGGATGGACAAAAATAAAAGGACAAGATTCACAGGAAACAGACAGTGCCAATTGTCGTTTGCATTTAAATCTTTGAATATTGTAGTTGGCAGTGAAACAAAAAATCGTAGGGGGTTTCCACAAGCGAGAAGTACGAGGAAAAGTTCGAATAGAACATACGGCTGTATTTAGGGAATTCACCTACAAAAATGGCGAGTCCTAGTTGCCAGTCTATTAACTCGATTAAACTCACGTAGCCTAGGCAGAAAGGAAGAAAATTCATCAGAACAATTAGTGTGAAAACATTTGTAAAAAAGACAGAGACAAACCACGTCATATCGGTGAGACAGTGATTGGAGATGAAATGCCAGGTTAGGGTCGTTTATATTACAGGCTTTTCTAAGAATTTTGTCAACTATCAAGAGATATATAGTAGAAACACCAGACCGGATATAGCATCAATATTTAATATTCAATGCACAGATGAATGGTACCTTTCTAAATGTGCAAAATGGTACTACAAAAATATGATATATCCGGTTCGATACAGTGAACCAACATTCATAGAAGTAGACCTAGAAAGAGTTTCAATATAATCACTCATCTGCATATCATTGTGAAACTCAAGAAGGCGTAAAGTGTTGCTCACCTGGAGGTTAGTATCAACCGTGCTGATGGCAGACAGAAAAGTTTCTCTGTTCTGATTAAATGAAAGCAGTTTTGTTTTGGAGGCATTCAAACTGGCAAGCCGTTTCTTGCCCTGGTTATCAACTGATATGAGTTCCTTTTTGAGGGACGTGGAACCACATCTCAATGTCTATTGTTTCCAGATCCACACTAACCCGTGATGGTAGCACCTGTTAGGGTCCAAGCTATGGGTATAAACGTTGTATTTAATTGCAATATGAGCACTGGTAAAAATGGTTGCTGAAGACATTAGGTTTATAATACCCAGAAATTCATACCTCAAGGACACATGGCACAGTGGATAAAGGCGTTGGTGAGATCCAGTGACAGGACCCAAAGAGTGTGAGTTCAATACCCGGTTAAGGCAGTGGAGAACTTTCAGAGGGAAATTAACAGGAGATAACTGATAACTGACTTCCATTAAACATGGCACGTGGACAGTCTACCCCAGTGAGCGAAATAAAGGGTTCAGTTCGAAATTCCAACCACCCGAAGAAGGCCGGAGCGTACAACGGCCGAAACGTTGTGATAAATATGGCGACAAAGATGAGAACAATAGTCCGAATAATGTAAATAATGTACATAATACCTCATCTCACAAATAGAGACAGAACATGATTTTCTTCGGTTGAACCAGTTAAACCAGTCCTGAAATCTCGAGACTATCTACATTAAGACGAGACTTAACCTATATTTGCTATGAAATATCTCTTCAAATTCTGTATTCCTGTAACCAGCTCTAATGAACTTTTAACACTTTTCTATCCCTATTGATGAATACCATTTTTACCAAGAAATAATGGCAGGTTTATTGATAACAAAGGAAAAGAAATCGGCAGTGAGCCTACGTCCAGAAGGGACAAGGCATTTAAAAGTCTATCTATCTTAGTCTGTCCATCTATATCTCCCTCTCTCTCTTTCTCTTTCTCTCTCTCTCTCCCTATCTATCTATCTATCTATCTATCTATCTATCTATCTATCTATCTATCTATCTCAGTTTGTTCATCTATCTCAGTCTGTTAATCTATATATCTATCTCAGTCTGTTAATGTATGTATGTATGTATGTATGTATCTATCAGTTTGTTCATCTACCTCAGTCTGTTAATCTATATATCTATCTCAGTCTGTTAATGTATGTATGTATGTATGTATCTATCAGTTTGTTCATCTATCTCAGTCTGTTCATCTATATATTTATCTCAGTCTATCTATCTATCTATCTATCTATCTATCTATCTACCTATCTTAGTTAGTTCATCTATCGAAGTCTGTTAATCTATATATCTATCTCAGTCTATTAATGTATGTATGTATCTATCAGTCTGTTCATCTATATATGTATGTATGTATGTATTTATGTATGTCAGTTTGTTCCTCTATCTATCTATCTATCTATCTATCTATCTATCTATCTATCTATCTATCTATCTCAGTTTGTTCATATATCTCAGTCTGATAATCTATATATGTATCTCAGTCTGTTAATCTATGTATGTACGTATGTATGTATGTATCTATCTCAGTCTGTTCGTCTATATATTTATCTCAGTCTATCTATCTATCTATCTATCTATCTATCTATCTATCTATCTCAGTTTGTTCATCTACCTCAGTTTGTTCATCTATATATCTATCTCAGTTTGTTCATCTATCTATCTATCTATCTATCTATCTATCTATCTATCTATCTATCTTAGTCTGTTAATATAAATCTATCGATTCGTCTTCATTTATTCATATCCAGGCATTCACAATAAACGAACCAGCGAACTTATAAATGGACAAATAAATAAACAGGGACAGAAATTCAAGGAGACGTTGGGAATAAACGAGAAAGTCCAAATCGAACCAGAGACACAAAGACGAGTGCATTGACAATCTGACAGCCAAATAGATTCTTTTTACTCTTTTACCTATTTTCATCTCTCATCGTACAAGCGCGCCTCTCTGCCATGGTCGCCATTTCCTTTCACTTTCTTGTTCGCTTTTTCTCTCTCTTCCCCTACGCTTCGAATACCAATAGTCATTCATTACTCGCCGTCCGCCATTTTCCTATCTACTTTAAAGATGTCAGCTATAGATTACATGCTTGTAACTTCTCCCAGATCTTTCAGGAAAATGAAAGAGGGTGAGAAGAAAGGTAAGAAGGAAAGAAGGCGTGTCTTATAGATAAAATATATATTATCAACCGAGTGTCAGTGTCTGTCTTCCATCATTTGTGCAACGTATTAAACCTTTTTTTTCTACTGTAGTCTAGTAAGTCATTGGACCGTATTATATTGAATTTTATTGCTTTGTAATGTAAGGAAGATACTTGTCTTCTCTGGATGGTCTAAAATTTTATTTTCCACACCAAATTATAAACTCAAGTATCTTGTTTTGGTCTTGAGACTGTGTAATTTCGGGTATTACAAGTGTTATTTGTTATTGAAAGGTCAACTCGTATAAAGAACTGGCTTTTAACATTTAATATCTCCAAAACTAATCTGGTAACATTTCATCATTACTGACCAGGTCCTGAGTTCTTATTTTTCATCATGAACGGGTGTACTCTCAATGGTTTGGAGGTTTATTGAAACAAATTCTAGTCAGATCTCAAGTATAACTCTTGTATACGATACACCACTAAAGGAGCTGTGAAAATAGTCGGTGCATTGTACCGCAGCCTAAAGTATTTGATTCCTTATAGATTTACAAGAGTCAAATTAGCCTAAGAATTGAAACCATATTTGAGCTGGAGTCGTTCAAACCCCACTTTCCAGCTTTATCAGAATTCAAAAGCGTTTACGTAGTCTTATGGTTAGTGAATTCCAATTCGAATTGCAGTCGAATTCATTACATTCACTTACGTGCTAATACCATTGGGAAAGGTATGAATCCTCTTCATCTAGCCCCACCCAGCTATGGGCAAATAGCAGGGCCGATCTGGTTCTATAGTCCTTGATGGCAACTGTTCTATCGCAGAAAGAAATGGCAACCTAATGCGGGAAATATTTGCCTGGTCAGTCATGTATCAAAAGATAAATGATCGTCTAAACATGTATCACGTATGGCACATAAGTGACTGAAGTAAAAAAAAAAAAAAAAATCACCTCCAATCATCGGGAGACTCGAATTGAGAATTCGGAGAGCCGAGGTCGAATTCCAGTCGAATCCATCACATTCACTTGTGCTAATACTCTTGGGAAAGGTATGAATTCTTTTTTTTCTCCCCCCAGCTATGGGTAAATAGCACGACAGACCGGGTTCTATAGTCTTTGATGGTAACTGGTCTATCGCAGAAAGAAATGACACCCTAATGCGGGAAAAATGTGCCTCGTCAGTCATGTATCGACAGATAAATGATCGTCAACGCATGTATCATGCATGGCACACAACTGACTGAAGTAAAAAAAAAAATCACCTCCAATCATCGGGAGACTCGAATTGAGAATTCGGAGAGTCGAGTTCGAATTCCAGTCGAATTCATTACATTCACTTACGTGCTAACACACTTGGAAAAGGTACAAATCCTCTTTTTCTCCCCCCCCCAGCACGACAGACCGGGTTCTATAACCTTGGATGGCAACTGGTCTACCGCAAAAAAAAAAAAAAAAATGGCAACCTACTGCCTCGTCAGTCATGTGTAAGAATCATGTAAGAACCATATGGCAGGTGGCAACAATGTTGTAAGCATGGACTTATACATCTATCTATCTATCTATCTATCTATATATATATATATATATATATATATATACATCTATGGATAAAAATATATATATATATATTTGGACGAAAATATATATATATATATATATATATATATATATATATATATATGCACAGTCCGTGCGTCTGCTCAAATATGAGTATCTATTAAATAATAATGTTTAAATTGATTCAAGTTACTTTTTTACGTTTACGTTTCAGTGAAATTTGTCAACTTTTGTCCCGAGATAAATCTTTTGAACACAAAGAATCATGTGCTATACGAGTTTAGCTCCAGAAAAGCGTCTGGTTACCAAGGCCGATGTTACTACTTTTAAACTACAATTTTCCATGATTTCCCTCGAACGCTCATATCTGCTCGAAGCGTTTCTAAACGTAAACAAATGACGTCACACACATGTATCACGCATGGCACATATTTTCCTCTTATTTTCCACCCTCTAACATCTTTCCCACAGATGAAACGACACAATTTTGTCTCTACTCTACCGCTATATCCATTAAAGATCTACATTGCATAGTTCCAGCCGTTCAGACCATTTCAGCAAAAAGCACCATGCCACATACACAGGTACAAGCCATCCTCAATCTTGTCGTCGTTCATTAGTAAGTAGGTCGTTCCGTACGGATAATTTCTTCCCCCAAAATCGCCACTTTGTGGAACAGAGCGGATGCTCACCCGATCACTACAATGTTAATCTCTTCAAGACTCGGGTAAATAGACATCTACTTTCAACAACCTAGTTTGAGTGGCTCTTTGGTCTTGTACTATGAAAACAACATTAAAAAAAAAAAGCGCATTCAATATTCTGGGTTGTGTCACTTTATGGATTTTTCTTTATACAGTTTTCCCCTGCTATAAAAAAGTAAAGCGTTTCTATGAAACTTTTTCTCTCTTTATGTGCAATGTACACTCAAAGCGTCAGTGATCATTGTTCGCCACAACGTCCTAAGTTTTTGTTTTTGCTCGAAATAGATTTTGGCTTTTTCTCCTTGTTCTGCCATCGATTCATTGAGATCCGTTAAGTAGGTTACTCACTGTTTCTTCTGCCATTTCTCTTTCATTATGCCTTATGAGTGTTTGATCCCCCAAGTACTCTTTCCTTATTATGTACCCAAGATCATGTCTCTCGAAGTATGTATGTTATTTTCTTCAACGTCCTTGTTGTTCACGCGTTCTGTCGATTGATTTCGCAGCATCGACTGGTAGAACCACATGTTTGTCTTTTCATTTTAGGAGTTTAGATATTACATAACAATTTAGTACTTTATTGTAATTTCTAGATACTGTTGTTTATTTCTTCATATTTTGCTTAGTTTCTGGAAGGCATATTTCGCTATAACTGTAGACATTGAAATTTCCCAGTCAGTCTTTTCGTCGTCTCTTATCACACACTAAACAGATCGTTAAATGTCTGTTCTCTCTTTATAATTGCTATTGGCGGTTTCCTTGTAATTGCTATTTTCTTTAAAACACCCTTGTTGTTCCTTGGTTTTGTTGTTCCTTGGTTTTGTACATCTTATTTCCAGTATCGGTTGTAAAACCACATTCCAGTCGTTTCAAATCTCTTCATCTATGAAGACGTTTGAGATTTGTTTGTTTTGCGGCATATCAACATCCTTATAGGTCATTTAATGCCGAAATTTAATTTGTCTTGGGAGCATCAGTAATTTCTTTTACAAAAAAAATGTCTTGCTGGTATTTTTTTACTATGAAAATATATTACTAATTTTTTTTTACTTTATAAATATTTTTTTATATTTTCATAATGATTGGATACCAGTGTGGGTGTTTGACCCTACCCTGGGACTCTATCAAGTTTGTTACGGGTGGTTATGCGTTTCCTAACTTGTTGTGGGTATTAGAAACGTCCGAGTTAGAAATTGGGAATAACACGTTATCTCCTGAAATACCAACAAAAAAAATGGCGGATTCGGGATGTGAGACCACGTAAAGAAATGTAGAGAAACGACAAGATCCAATATATATGTACAAACAAATGATAATGTATTAACAATAAAGGTATACAAGAGACAAAGAAAATGATGTGTGTAACAAATGAATGTGAAAACCATTTGGCTTCCAAGTATGTTAAGTGAGTGAATGTGCGTACGTACTTGTGTGTGTAAGTGTGGTTAGTTCGTTCGTTTCCTAAAGGGAACTCGTTCTCCGCGGGAGATTTACATGTTGACGAGTAAGTGGATAAGGTAAGAAGAGGCTGAGAAAAATGATAGCAGATTATTTATAGTCCGAAGAGCGTCCCCTAGTAACAGTTTCGAAAATTAGGATGGGCTAATCGGACAAGTGATTAGCATTTCGGGTCAGCAATTAAGAGGTCGTTCCACATTCCTCAAAACCTCCTGATCAGAGGCTTTCGCTGGCGGATGTATTTTACCGTCATATCCAGGACGTTCATCTGTGAAGAGATGGTCCTGCAGATAATTACAAATAGAAAATTAGATATTATGTAATAGCGTAAAACGGAGAAGCAATTGTCATTTACGTATTAGGTAGGATTCACTGTAAAATGCTAGATAGTATCTTTTTTTCGCCCGAATCGACCTCACACACACACACACACACACACATATATATATATATATGTATATATTGCTTTTAAACTACAATTCTCTATGATTTCCCTCGAACGATCAATTCTGTTCGAAGCGTATTTAAACGCAAAAAAACCTAGAACTTTCTATATTTTTGTCAGGCTATATGACGGTTCCGTGTAGGATACAGGTTCAATTCCTGTCGTAAGACATATTTTCTTCGAAAATTTCTCGGACGTACAGGCCGGTAAATGTTGTTAATATTTATTATAAACAGAGCATTTACTTAGACATTTGTGTATATATAAATAACGTATAACAGTAAAATATTTTTAAATAATTGTCGGACTTTGTCCATTTCGTAGTGTGCTACTTCATTTGTTTATGTTTAGATACGCTTCGAGCAGATATGATCGTCCGAGGAAAAATCATGGAAAATTGTAGTTTAAAAGCAGTAAAATCGGCCTTGATTTTTTGTATTCAAAAGCTTTTTTCTCGGAACAAAATTTGACAAATTTCACTGAAACGGAAACGTAAAAATGTAACTTGGATCAATTTAAGCATTATTTAGTGGATACTCATATTTGAGCAGACGCCCAAACTATGCACACACACATATATATATATATATATATATATATATATATATATATACACGTTTCATTAAATAATATAGACAAGTGTTGTCTATTTATTTTATGTAAAATTTTTTCGTATCTTCTGATAAGTTTGATAACATTATCATTAAACGAAGAAAAAAATTTAACAATATTTATCCATTATTTTTAATATAATCTAAGCTTTC